ACACACACACAAGCTGTATGAGAGAAGGGGGGCATTAATTATCTCTGTGTCTGACATTTTGACAACCAAAGGCCAGGCAGATGACCCTGGTCCTGGCTGGTGCCTGGGGCCATGTTGATGTCAGAAGGCTGTGCAGAGCTGGTCCCACCCCTTGCCTGAACCTCATGGGAGAGTTAGCCTCATAGGAAAGATGACCCTGCACCTCACCAGCTGCAGTACTAGAGCTGGCCCCAGTTGTAGGCAAGGGGGTTTGTCTTTGAGCCAGTTTTGAGTATCTGAGTGCTGGAGAGCTAGCCCAGCCCCTCACCTGCTGCAGCACTTGGGAGAATGGGCCTTAGCATCACAATAAAGCTGCCTCTAGTTACAGGTGCAGGTGAGTGAAGACGACCCCAGGACATGAGATCTGGAGAGCTTGCCCTGTTCTTTGCTGGCTGTGGCATTAGATGAGCTAGCCTAGGCAGTGCTAGAGAGCTGTCTCTGGTGTTACCAGATCTGTTAAACTGGTCAAACAGGCTCAGATCCAGGGCTTTGAACAAACATCTATCAGATCTGTGTGAACAGTTAGAGTGCATAAAGGTGTAGGTCCTACAGATACAGTGTGGTGGGGATCTGTGTGACTCAGGAAAAGAACAGGATCTCCATGAGGGTCCAGTATCCATAGTGTAGCAGAAGCCAGAGGCCTTGAACCAGAACAAGAACTCGTTACAATGAACATTTGCTAGTGAAGAAGTCCACAAAGGGTATTATGTAGACACAATGTGACATATTACAGCTTCTACAGCTTTTCTGGGGGAAGAAGGAGTGCTTGTTAGAAAGGCAGAGGGTGGGTACAAAGGGACAGGGAGATGAGTGGGATTGAGGTGTATGATGTGAATTTCACAAAGAATCAATAAACATTTACATTTAAAAAATACCTCAGTGTTACTCTGCCTAATGGACTTTTTACCACCACTGGGCTTTATAAAACAGAATTTACACACATATACCACTACCCATGAACTTACAGGTGGCATGTTTATGCTTAACAGAATGTCTTACACATGGTCAGCATTTATGAAGTATTTATTGAGTTGAATGAAAATAAAGTTAATTTATGATAAAAAATGAGAAAACTGTGAATGCAAACTTCAGAAAAGTCAGAGATCAGTGTGTTAGAGAAATGAAAAAGGATCCTTACTTACATACATCAGAGTCACATGTGACACTGAAAACTGTGGGGGAAAATTACAGGCCACTGCAGCAGTGGAGTCCCAGTGGGTTTCCACACTGCGGAGGGTCCCACATTTAGGAGGAACGTCTATGGTTCCAGCAGCCTGGAGGCTTTGGTGGTGGCAGGCCCCAATGAAGTCCTTGGTTCCAGAAAGGTTTATTGTCATGGGGGATGGTGGATGGATCTAGGCATACCCCTGTAAAACTTAGGGCAGTCCTGAGCTATATAGGGAGGGAGAAAGGGGAAGGA